ATGAGATTGTGTATCTATGAGAATTGAACTTTATATAGACCATACCATAGCTAAGATATATTATTAGTTATCCAGAAATGTGCTATTCAAATCAATACAAACAAAAGGTTAATCTTATTTACACATCAGCAAGTTCTTCTTTATGAAATAACAAAGATGTTTTTTTCCTATAAAATTTCATTTTTGACGAATTCGAGAATTCTCTCTATGAGAAGACATGATAGAAGTCTTATAATTACTTGACAACAATTCAAAAGAGGAGTTCACCAGCCTGCGTCGCACATCCATTCGCACAACTTAAATCTGAATGCTTCTGAGTTCCAAAACAGACATAAGAACGTTATAAAGAAGAATATTAGCAAGAGCACAATAAACTTCCATACATTGCAACTGTTATCGATATTATTGTTGATGTTCAGTAAAGCAAAGAATCTTTGTCCGCCAGGAAATAAAGGAAAAAGGAAGGGTACTGCTAGGGCTGCAAAAATCCACAGCGGCATTATTCCTCTATCTATTTATGCTTAAGCACACTCAGGTAAGTGATTAAAATGTCACTTTAAAATTCCAAGTTCGAACTAATTTCGATTACCAGGAAGTTCTCAGATTAGTGCTTTATACGTCACCTAAAAATATAATAAGTTTCGTTTTCTATATCATGAAGTTGTAATTATTTCATAAACTCGAAATTGAAAACAGCTATTGGTTAATCGATTTACCAAGTATGATGATGGCATATTTTTGTCCTCAACTTGCAAGATAAATTATATTAACATCCAAGTTAATCATATAGACATACGACTATTTTATGTCAACATGCAAAAAAAATTACATGTATGTTTGAATTAATGTTAACAGTCTCTTTAAAGAATTTAATTTTAATGTTATTAAAATTAATAACTAACGCCATTATCTGCCGTCATACAGCCAGGGATGGGATCAATTACTTTAAAAAGTAACTAGTGCTAATTGTAACGGGAACCGTTACAGATGTTCCCCAAACGCTCCCCAACTCCCTTTCGGTGCCATATCCCCTGTAAGCTTCATTAAATAAGACAAACTCTGTGCATTTTTGACTTGAACAATGTTTTCCCAGAAGGATATCAATTATATTCAATTTTTAGCATTGCACCCAAGCGCATGTGAATGCATGTGCGTTATGACCATATCATCTTGTCTACACTATTTATATATTTCAATATACTATATATTAGAGCATTCAGTCCAAAAATAATAAAAATCACTCATTCAAGAGTATTTTTAAATATACTCGTTTCAAATGCACGCACGTGCGTGCACGTGCATTATGATAATACCTTCTTGTAGGAGTCCCTTTCGTCTATCTATGTTCTAAATCCCATCCTGTTTTGGTTGAAAAACAAGGAAGTTATAGCCATTTAAAGTTTCAGCCAATCAGATTTCAGCACACGTGCATGCGCGTAATTTCATGATTTTTTTAATATCATTTTGTAGGATATCCTAATGCATGACTATATTTTAAATTTCAAAGAATTTCGTCAAAAAAACAAAGGATAAATAGTTATTTAAAGTTTCAGCCAATCAGATTGCAGCACACGTGCATGCGCGTGATTTCATAATTTTTTTTCTATATCATTTTGTAAGATATCCTAATGCATGACTATATTTTAAATTTCAAAGAATTTCGTCAAAATACAAAGGAGAAATAGCCATTTAATGTTTCAGCCAATCAGATTGCAGCACACGTGCATGCGCGTGATTTCATGATTTTTTTTTCTATATCATTTTGTAGGATATCCTAATGCATGACTATTTTTTAAATTTCAAAGAATTTCGTCAAAAAACAAAGGAGATATTGCCATTTAAAGTTTCAGCCAATCAGCTTGCAGCACGCGCACATGCGCATGCTTTCATGAAAATTCTTATATATTATGTGGTAGATCTTCATTATGTAGGACTATGTTCAAAATTTCAAAGGATTATGACAAGAAACAAGAAAGTTATTGAGACTTTAATTTCAGCCAATCAGAGCAAAGCGCACGTGCATGCGCGTGAGATCTTGCTATTTTGACCATGCTATCTTGTCTATACTACTAATGTATCCTTACATTATGAGTTTCAAAAAGATTCATCAAAAAATAGAAAAGTTACGGCAATATCCATTATATTGGTAATTTCACATGTTGCACGTGCGCGCTCTTGCAAGCACGTGCGCGCAAAATGACCTTTGTTTGGCAACTCTACATAACATGCCTACTGACCCTAAAAAGGTTTCACCTAAGTCGGATGTGTAGTTTACAAGATCACTCGTGGACAAAATTTTCCCAGGAAGAAGAAAAATAATAATAATAATAATAATAATAATAATAATAACTAGAAACGATCTCGTTGCGAGCAACGAGAGGTCTTCCGTCCGATTCAGGAAAAAAAATCTCGCAAAATCGAGCTGAAGAGTGATTCAAAATTTTGGTCGCAAAGAGAATTGAACCCATGTCGCCTTTTTCTGTTTTATCCCAAACGCGCAAACCATTAAGCTTTTGGGAGTACTGCTCTAAATATACTTGTGTGTATACTTTTGCAACAGTACACCTGTCTAAGAATCATAAAAGGCGGGTCACTATTAATAATTTGCGCCAAACGCCACGAGTAAATATTCGCGCATTTTCTTTGAACTTATCTATTAAATAGGTGTGATAGCTTCAATGAAATAAAATAAATAAAACGTTCTTATCGTCTTTATTTTATTTCGACGTTTAAAAAGTCTTTGTACACATTACATATATCGTATCTAGCCCAGTTACACTAAAGTAGTGAAACGGAAATTAAGTGTTAAGATTGACATTGAATTACAACGTACTACTACGTAAAAGTCAAAGTAGTTTTTTTTTTTACATTTCATGCATTCGTATGTCAGAATGGTTTGTCCAAACGCTCAGCTGCCTCCATAAACCCCAATTGCGAAATGGCGGAATTGACAAAGAAAGCCGCCATCTGGGGCCCGCTTCAGATTTTCAAATATTAATATCTAGAATTCAGATAAGTCAATTTTCAAACAACTTATATAGTAAGCATCAAATTATTAAGATGAATACTTTTGCTCAGCAATGTATAACAAAATATTGATCATTAGAGGGTTATAGATAAAGGACTTTTGGCCCCTCTTAGCCCCTAATTTGAAGGGTCAGCCCTATTTTTTTGACATCAAATGAACGGTCTTGCGATGTTGCACATTTTGTCTTCAATATGTTTTAACAAATTATGAACAGGTGTGAAGATATGAGACAAAATGCGTCAAATTTTGTGAGATATTTCTGAGACATTTTTTCGGCCCTACCGAACTCAGGTACCTTTTGCGCTAGAAAGATTTGGAGACCCAATTACAACTCACCAAACCTTTCTCTATTTTCCCTGAAAATCTCAAGTCCATATTTTAAGTCGTTTCGGAGGAGTTTCCCGGACAAGCCGACCCTCTGAAAATCAGAAAATCGTCCATATCTCACGACCAGAAGTGAGATAATCAAAAAGGAAAAAAACCTATCAAGATCAATTGAATATCTTTCAGATCTGAAAGTTTGGTAGAAATCGGACTAGCCATCTCTGAGAAATCGCTTGCACAAAATCGGTTGGAAGAATAATAATAATAATAGGGAAAAAGAAACCGAACGAAAACAATAAGGTCTTCCGTTGGAGACGGAAGACCTTAATAAGAAACAGAGTAAAAACAATATGTTCCCCAACTTCGTTTGGGGAACATAATTAATTAAATAACAACTACTTTGACTTTTTCTTCAATTAAATTACAATTAAATTACATGCTTTTTAAAGACATGTAATTAATTAAATTACAATTACTATATATTCATATGAATATACAGAACAGGGATCATTCACTTTTTTATAAGTGCAGCCTCTGCACAAACAATACAAGAAATAATATGCTAGTAGGCTTTGTGTATCTTTGTGGTTTAAATCATAACTTTTATTTACAAAACAGTAAAGAACTATTCAAGATCATTTTGATGCAAATGCCTCCACACAAAACCTACATGTACACAAATTGCATGGGTTATGATATTTGATTAACAGGGGGTTTTATAACTAGAGTAAAATAAATCACATCTATAACCCCTCAAATTAAATATTTCTTTCAAAGGTAACCTTAACTTCTAAATTGCTACTTATGTTGAACATTTTTACTTCATATTTATATTATACTTGTACAAAACATATCTTTTTCAGATACAAAATTCATTCTTAAAATTCTTTTTATTTGTTAAAATAATTATCAAATTGAAAGTTTTTCTTTTCTCAAACTAGCAGAGCATATTTAATTGAAATAATTATCACCACTGGCTTTGTCATCATAATCATGGAATGAATACGTCTTTAGAGGCTTTGATCTGTTTTGATTGCAATTTACAGCTGTGATCTGGAAGGTAACTATCTCTTAATACTAACCAGAGAGAACTTCATTAATGACACACACACATTCCTTTTCTTTTTCTTTTTTTGACACACACATTCTTATTCTACATTGATCAAACAACAGAGATTGAAATATAATGGGGAGGTTGTGGTGACAATCTATCATGCATGTGTATTATATAAAGTAATTGAATGTA